TCCTTTTGTTTTCAAATGCAATTACAAGGAACAGCTTTAGTTGGAACCGTGTTTTGTTTTAGAACAGTTCTCAAATTACTTCTTGCAGAGTTTTCTAATCTGTGTATGGCCTTTAATGACACAGGAGGGAGCAAGACTAGAATCACGAAGATTAAGAGTCGTAGAAGCTGAAGAGCAGGAGCCGACCTCAAAGCAGTTAGCCAAGGCAATGGGAATGAAGACGAGAAGTATAGATAAGGTGCTTTGTAAGAAAAGAGAGTCACAAGAAAGAATCATCAGGAGCTACCGGGGACTCATTGTCTCTGTTGCCAGCAGTTATCAAGGCAAAGGATTAAGCTTTCAAGACCTCATTCAGGTTCCTACACCTTTTTCACTCCTGTCCAACACTTTCCGTAAGTTGCTCCACGAAACTAAGTATCTATTTATGCAGGAAGGGAGCATTGGGCTACTTCGAGGGGCAGAGAAGTTTGATCATGAGCGAGGATGTAAGTTGTCAACTTACGTCTACTGGTGGATCAGGCAAGCTATTATCAGAGCCCTAGAGAAGAAGTCTAGAATAATCAGATTACCAGTGAGAAGCTAACCTAATTAACCATTGTTCTTAAACAGTTGGATTTAGTTCTTTTTGTTAGACACTGCTTCCGCTTTTTGACTGAGGTTGCCTAATCACCGAGCTACAGATTTTATGTTAGTGACGTAATTAATTAGTTAGTTCTTATTGGTTTTCTGATGCTTCGAGTTTTGCACCACATTCACGACTAGGTTCAATGTCTCTTAATTGGAAATGGGGACTACTTCTTGAACGAAAACAGTACATTTCCTGCGTTGCATTTCAATGGAAAGTTCTAATGCTGGGGGTAGGATATAGTAAACCAGGTTAGCTTGTCAGCCCAAAGTTTTCTCAAGAATTTGCGCCTTTGCTTCTTGCTTATTGTATATATCAGTTGGTGCATCGAAACCATGGTACGTCTAAGATGAAAAAACATTGATGGTTAAAGCAACTTTTATCAGACGTGACTATACTTGTTAGCGTAATTTGTTTGAAATGTTTTCGTCAAAATTGTTCTACTGTCAAAGGTGAATTTTATTGAATATAGATGCTGAGGTTAGCTTTCAGCTGGAGATGCTCTTTTGGCGTATAGATGGCGTTAAAACTTGTTTGAGATGATTTAGATAGCAAATTTGTATCAAAATGAGTTCCTTTCCTTGCACATATTTTATACAACTCTTGCGAGATAACCTGGTAGAATTGCATTGATTGAAAGATTACAGAAGTATGGTTAGTTCATTTCTGCAGGTTAACATGTGCGGTGTGATGGCAAAAATCACAAAAGCTAAAAATTCCTTCAACCAAAGAATACAGCGACTGCCTACATATGACGAAATCGCTCAAGAGGTCAATGTGCATGCTGCAACAGTAAAGCTTGTTTGCGAGAGGAGCAGACCGCCAATTTCATTGGATCAGGTGGTAACTGTTCGGGGTTGCATGTCACTGCAGGTCTGTTTCTTGAATCTTATTTCCACTTTAGTGAATGTTTGCTTTCATGGCTATGCTCCATTAGCAGCTCAAACGATTGTGGAAGTGTATCAGTTACGCTTCATTAGTCGATCTTAATTTATTAGTTCGCATTCTGCTGCAGGAGATCATGCAAGGGCCAGAGGAGATGATGCCAGAAAAGATGCTTACAAAACAGCTAATGAAGCAAGAGGTCGAGAAGCTTCTCAAGACGCTGAGCGATAGAGAAGCATATGTGTTGAGATTACACTTTGGGCTACACGGAGAGACCCCAAAGTCCTTTGAGGACATAGGAAGACTGTTAAAGCTTTCGAGGGAGAGGGTTCGACAGATTAATGGAATTGCGTTATCAAAGTTAAAGCAGACTAGTACATTCGACAATCTAAAATTGTATATTGTATAGTTTTTTCGATGAACAAAATATTAAGATAGAGAAAGGTAAATAGCATAACGGGAAAAGAAGCGGTTGCATTTTTTGTTGCATCAGTAATTCTTTTCTTAAACTCCCAGCGCAGTAACAATTCCACCAAATGTTGGTGTTAACGAGAAAAGAAGTGTTATCTGATCTTCATAAGTTGCTTGCATCTAATGTGTGAGCAATAGAAGTCGAAATCAAAATAGCACAACCTTGATTTCAATTTGGAAGACGTATATTCACTTGAAGCTGTAAGCTAAACGTTACATTAAACCCTATACGTAATGTGTTTGAAAGCCTTATCCTTACTTGTGTAGATTATGAAGGACGTACAGAGAAGCAGAAGACAGGAAAATACAGACAGAATAGCTCAATAGATCCAAACCGGTGGTTATCTGCACCATCTTGCTCCGCTCAAACATCTTTACCAGAAGAATCATGACAATTACGTGCCCCACTTTCGTCTTCAATTCATCGAGTGAACTAATTTTCATCCATTTAGGTCTCTCCTGAAAAACCATCATCCAGTTAACTTGGCAGTGTTCAAAATATAAAATAAGACAGATTAGTTCTGATGTAATAGGACTGTGTTAGCATCTATTAATAATTTAATACCTCGGTGCAGGTTTAAGCCAATGCATATGGGAAGTAAAAATTACCTTCATAGCAAACATCCCGAACAAAGAAGATCCCTTTAGAGCGCGATCATCAATGGAAGGCACATCATTAGGGACATTACTGATAAATAATCCGTAAAGTCCCATGCCAAATATTAACATGACAGTCCCAGCAAGGTAAACATCTGCATCATTCATCATTGCATCAACATACAGACTATAACAACAAAAATAAACATAGAAATATGGACATCATACGATGAGTTTTACCCTCTTAAGAAAGGAGTGACTTCTGCTGCTTACACGGAAGTCACGACATTTGAAATGTATTTTGGTTAGCATTTGAAAGCATATTCAAGAAACAGAAACATAGAGCAATTCTAGAAAGAGGATTCTGAAATTATACCGATAGCTTCAACAAGTCGGAGAACCATATGTCCAGTGTGATTCCCTTTGACACAACTAGTCCAATAAACTTTGTAAGCATCCATTATATAAACACAACCCTGCAGATTCGAATATAGTATGAGTATGTACGGATACAGTCATACATTATGTGTAGCACAGAGATTATAGTTGAAATCGCAATCAGAGCCTGAATTTATATTTTCACGGTCGAAGACCTCATAGAAAGAAAATATTTCTTCTCCTTAGTACTTAAGTAAGAATATAAAATATGATAGAGAGAAATTACGTTGAGAAAGCACAACAGTGAACCAGCCAACGAACCTCCAACAGCAAACAGTGCCAAAAACCGGAAGTCAAATATTGTCTGTTCAACAATGGACACATAAAGAACGCTTAGAACATATTGTTAGACGGAAAAAATTTCTAAACAGAAAGAAGAAACTGCACAACTTTCTTAATTATTGACAGTTGGTACCTATAACAAAAAACAGAACCGACCATGAGGTAAATGACATTTTGTAGTTTCCTAGCCATCTTAGTTTAAGATAGGTTGTTTATACGCGCTAGACCGCTTACAGTATTTGTTAACACTCATGATGCCATTGCCATTGAATTCTTTTAAGCTTTGAAGGAGATTGCCTCCAAAGTGTTTGAACAAAACTACTACATTTGCATCAGTAGCTCTAACTTACTGATTCTTCTTATTGCTCAGCAGCAATCTGTCAAACAATAATCTGTCAATTATCAAAAAAATCACAACCAAGTCCTCCAAGCTATTCAAACCCCTCCCCTGTCATTTTAATTTTAATCAAAGTGCAAGAAATTCTTTAGAGAGTTGATGAACTCCAGCATTACATAAAAAAAGTAACACAAGCTATGGAGGAACAAAGCCACACAATAAAGCTCCGGTCACCAAAATTAAGAAAAGGTCACACTACTAAGTGGCCATTTGATAACCATTTTGTTTTCAGTTTTCACTTGTTTTGAAAACTGAAAACGATATGGTATCAAACTGCCCTAAGTTAAGAAGAGCCTCCTCTGCAACTAGAAGGGTTTTTCTGTTCTGTATTTTATTTTCATTTTTGTCCAAACCCAAAAAAGAAAGAAAGAAAGAAAGAAAGAAAGAGGAAAATTCACTCCTTTTGTCACATCCAAATTCCAAAAGTTCCAATATTCCCATGGATCTCTGAACATTTATACCAAGTAATCATTACTAAGCAAGTACAGTGACTGAAACACAAATTAAAATTCAGTTACCCTTTCAATGGAAGACTCAGCGGAACGGGCAAACCGAACAAAGGGGTTGCCGTTGGCAAGGGCGTAGTTGAAGCCCGCCGGCTCTGGGGGTCTTGACGACGCACCATTAAAAGGGTTTGGTGAAGTTTCAGTGGAGGAGGAGACTGCGGTTTGATTTGGGGCAGTTGATTTTGATTCCGGAGACTGTGGGGAGCTCAGAGAAGAAGCAGCGATGGAATGAGAGAAGCGCTTAGAGCTGTTCGACGGCCCGATGGGACGGATTGCCGCCGAGACGGAGAGGGTTGAGGTGGAGATAGAAGTGAAGAGAGCCATTATGGAGAGAGAGAGAGAGAGAAAGAGCTAGAGTACTGAGAATTTTCTGTGACTTTGGTTGGCGGGTAGTAACGGTAAATTGGGAACGTAAGTGGCCTTCACGCGTGTTACGGGAGCGTGGGACTTTCAAGCCGATACTGGATGGACGGCGGAGGGAAAACTGAAAAGTCAAGTCATCCGCACAACACAAAACGGGCCACGATTGTTGTTGGCCCGTGGTTAATCTTCAATTGGGAAACACTTATCCGAACCAACTATAATTTTTTGTGCAAATTTGAGTTACATCATGTAACACCCACCCTCGTTTATAAAATATATTTATGTAATTATCCCTTAAATGTTTTGAATCTATCATTTTGATCCTATGTTGACTACCCTATCAGGATCTAAAATTTGGATTCTTTTCTTCCTCAAGTTGCCACGTGGCAGGACCCCATCACTCCTCTCATTTCTCTCTGTCTCCCCCCCTTGAACCCCATCTTCTTCTTCCTCTTTCTGTCTTTCCCGTCTCTCCCTCTCAGATCTCTCACTTCTCTTCCTCTCTTCACTGAAATAGCACAGGGACACACACACCCACACGCTGAGGCACACTCGTACTCGGAGAAGCCATCATCGTCATCATTCCTCATCCTTCTCTCTCCCTATTTCCCGTGCTGTGAGGACAGAAACCCGGAAAGGAACTATGGCAAGATTTTTCTATTCTCCGGTTAGGTAAGCCTCGATTTCCCTCTCTTTAGTCCTAAATTCATGTGAGAATGAGTTTTAAATGGGTTTTATTGCGTGATTGTGGAGGTTTTAGGACGAAATCGACTTGGGTGTAAGCACACCCATCTCCGGTGAACTCGGTGGTGTCGATGAATTTTCCGTCCATCTCCGGCCGTTTTACGGCGAAAGGAAGGTATGAAAACACTCCTCTCGTCTTGTACTTCGTTTTGGTACCTAGATCAGGGTCTAGGGTTGTAGTTTGTGGTCGACCGGAGCTGTAGAAGCTCCGACGTTCTTCTCCGTCGACTCCAGGCTTTCAGGCCGTTTCTAGGACAAGCAGGCCTTAGGCCCGTGGTGAGTCTAGCCCAAAACCCTAACCCAGTTTGTTTTAATTGTTTTTAATTAAATTGTTTTAAGACCCAAAAGGCCTTTGGGCCGTGCCATTCAAGGCTTGAGGCCCGTTGACCCAACCCAAAACCTTTTTAGGTTTTGTTTATTTCTGTTTTAGAAGATTAGGCCTTAGTCTAAACCCATTAACCTTAGTCTAAACCCAAATCCTTTAAGGCCATTTCGGCCCAACCCAATCCAAAGCCCAGTCTGACTTTGACCCTTTGACCAGTTGACTGTGACTGTTGACTCGGTCAACGGTCAGCGTTGACTCGATCAACTGTCAGAGTTGACTTTGACTTTGACAGGTCAATGTTGACTTTTTGGGATTTTGTCCAAGACATCTCTTAGGCTAATTTCGACGTTCTGGACCCGTTTTTTAAGTCCATTTTTTCAAATTCAATCGTTTGACTAAAGGTACTCCTTTACGTGAATAGGTGCAATTATTAACGGTGATTCCGTTATACCTTTTTGGTACAGCTTTGCACCATCGGTGTACGGTGAATGGACCCCTTCAAAAGCATGTTTTAATACTAGAAATGCATACATGAAAAGCATGATTGAATGATTATGTTTTATGAAATGTTTTGTGAGATAACATGCTTACTGAGGCTAGATTAAATTACTACTATTTTTCATATAACCCATGTTCTTATAGAATATCTTATGGATGACGATATGATATTTAGAACATGTTTAGAACAACTCTTTGTAGTATAGATGATGAATGACTTTATACTATAAAGTTGTTTTTCAATCTAGATATATTCAATGGTTTTGTACTTATCTAGTGGTCTTTTCCGCTACGGGATGTAGGGATATATTCTGGTTCGTCCGGGGCGACGGTTTGGTGTTGGCATAGGGCATGGAGTGTGTTTCCTTTGACTATTTAGCACAGAGACGGGGAGCCGGCATGGGGCCTGGAGGTTATCGGACAATTCACTAGTGTTTATTACATATACAAGTTATGAATTTGAGATACTGCACATCATGCTAGGTTTCGGAAAACCTATGTTTTTCATTATATATGTGTTTTCATAAACCTGGGGGTTAGTATGTTGATAACTGTTTTATTATATTTATATCAAATTAGTCCACTCAAGTTTGTTTTGCTTCCCCTTCAGGACCTATGAACGAGGATTACGATTTAAGCTACGAGACTTTTCCCTACCAGTGATTCAGTGTTATATTTCTTCTACTTTGACATCTATTGTAATATAGCACTTCTCTATCTTAAATTCTGTTTGTACTCTGTAATAAACGTATGCTCTGAACTTATGTGTATGACCATAATTTTATTAATTAGTAGTTGAACTTTAGTATTATGTTGTTAGTTCCTATTGCCTGTTTTAGCTTATTTTTGAGCTTTTACTTAATTTAATGGCTTTCATCACCCTTCGGGTGTCGGCCAGCACGTGACCATCCCGATGTTCCGAGGACATCGAGATCGGGGCGTGTCAAATCAGTTAGTCAAAGATAATGGGTTGCCGTCCTTTGCATCTTAGTTTAATTTCTCTTCTCTGTAAAATATATTAATTTAGAATATCTTTTTTGTTGAAAAATATATAGTTTTCTTATAGTTCATAATTGTAAGGATTCCGATGATTCTCAAATCATATCCGTTCATCGTACATCGTGCGGTCAGTTTTCATTAGGTACTGTTTATATTCAATTTTAAATAAAAGAATTTACAATAATTTCTGACTGCACGATGTATGATGAACGGATGTGATTTGAGGATCCGGCAAGGATCCCACTCGTTATTTATAACAAACATGCATGATGCATGCATTGACTTGGTTAATTTCCAGGCAAGCCTGCATAATTTAATAGTCGGGAATGATGAGAAACTTGTTGCATCAAGTCAATACTAAGAGAAAACTGATTGGCCCAGAAAGAGTTAATCATTTTTTTTTTAAATTTAAGGATAAAGAAAACGTTTAATATGTTCTAAGAATGTGATTATTATAAGGGCATACATTGATTTCTGGGGAACTGGTTTGAATGTTCCTTGCAGTTAAATGTTTTTATGTTCAATTATTTTCTCTGGTCTTACCATGAACCTTCACTTTTCTTAACTCTTCTGAAGAAAGCGAAATTAGTTTTCTTTCTTCGCACGCAAGCGAAGATTATATCAGAAATATCATCATTGTTCATGGTTCATAGTGTTTGGTTATTGAGAGTCTGAGACTTTGAGTTTACAGAATCATTCACAATGCTTCATCCACTCTTGCTGCTTCTCTTCTTTTTGATAAACCATTTTTCTTGTGGTGGTAATGCTCGGTTGATAGGTTGCCTAGAAAGCGAGAAAGAGGCTCTCATTGACTTCAAAAAGGGTCTTGAAGATCCTGAAAACCGGCTTTCATCATGGAAAGGAAGCAACTGCTGCGAATGGCGGGGGATACACTGTCATAATACAACTGGAGCTGTTCTAACAGTTGATCTCCATAACCCGCATCCGCAGGATCCGTTTGGTTCTCCAAGCAGGTACGGATTCTGGAACCTTAGTGGTGAAATTAGTCCGTCGCTGAAAATGCTCGAGTCCTTGAAGCATTTAGACTTGAGCTTCAATACATTTAATGGAATTCCAATATCTGAATTTTTCGGATCCCTGAAAAATTTGCAGTATCTAAACCTGTCACATGCTGGGTTTAGTGGTAGAATTCTCCCAAATTTAGGGAACCTCTCTAGCTTGCAGTTTCTTGATGTGTCCTCTAATTTAATATCTGTTGATAACCTTGAATGGGTGACTGGTATAGTATCTATGGAGTATCTCAATATGAATGGAGCTGATCTTTCAATGGTAGGACCGGACTGGATTCCAAAGCTTAATAAACTCTTGTTCTTAACTGAATTGCATATGTCGAGTTGTGGCTTATCCGGTTTTATTCCCTCTCTCACTGTAGTCAATTTCACTTCACTTTCTGTAGTTGAACTTGATTCTAACAGCTTCAAGTCAGAGATACCTAATTGGCTTGTCAATATCAGTAGTCTTGAAACTCTCAGTATGAGCAGCTGTGGCTTGCATGGAAGGATTCCGCTTGGTTTCGGGGAACTTTCGAGATTAAAGTCTATTGATCTTTCTCTGAATGAAAATCTAACGGCAAGTTGCTCTCAGCTTTTCAGAGCAGGATGGGAAAAGATAGAAGTTATTAGTCTAGCTTTCAATAAATTACATGGTAAACTTCCTGCTTCCTTTGGCAACATGACAGCTCTCACTTATTTTGATCTTTTTGACAACAATGTGAAGGGTGGGATTCCAAGCTCTATAGGTGAACTTTGCAACCTCAAGTTTTTCCGCTTATCAGGCAATAACCTAAATGGGACTCTCCCAGATAGTTTAGGGAAACTTTCTGAGTTGTCTGTGTTGGATGTTTCTTCCAATCATTTGACAGGCGTTGTAACTAAAACACATTTTTCGCAGCTTAGTAAGTTGAAAACCTTGCTTTTGTCTTCCAACTCTTTAACATTAAACGTCAGTTCAAATTGGATGCCCCCTTTTCTAGGCCAGAATCTTGATCTAGGGTCATGCCATTTGGGTCCTTCGTTTCCTGCTTGGTTAAGATCCCAAAAGGAGGTCGAGTTTCTAGATTTCTCAAATGCCAGCATTTCAGGTTCCATTCCAAATTGGTTTTGGGAAATCTCATCGAACCTCTCACTGTTAAATATCTCATTCAATCAGCTGGGAGGGCAGGTCCCAAATCCTTTTAATGCTGCTTCCTATGCAGAAGTTGATTTGAGCTCCAACTTCTTTGAAGGACCGATTCCTTTTCCGATTGTTGATGTCGCGTTACTAGATTTATCCAACAATGTATTTTCAGGTCATATCCCAAAGGCCATAGGGGAAACCATACCAAACATGATCTTCCTCTCTCTTTCGGGAAACCAACTAACAGGTGCAATCCCTGCTTCTATAGGCGAAATTTTGCATCTTCAAGTTATCGATTTTTCAAATAACAGCTTTAATGGAAGCATTCCTCCTACCATAGCAAACTGTTCTTTTTTAAAGGCTCTAGACCTTAGCAAGAACAATCTATCTGGAAACATTCCGAGCTCATTAGGTCAGCTAAGTCTGCTTCAAACAATGCACTTAAGCGACAACAAACTCTCCGGACGGCTCCCACAAGCTTTGCAGAATTTTTTCAAGTTTGGAGACACTGGATATCGGAAATAACATGCTAACAGGAAGTATTCCACCATGGATCGGGAAAGGTTTTGAGTATCTGAGAATTTTGAGGTTGAGGTCAAATGCATTTTTCGGAGAACTTCCCATCATGCTATCAAATTTAAGTTCATTGCATGTCCTGGACCTTGCAGAAAATCAACTGAATGGAAGCATTCCAGCTAGTTTTGGAGATTTCAAAGCAATGGCGCAGGTGGAAAACACGAACCGTTATCTATTCTATGGGAAGTACAGGGGTGATTACTATGAAGAAAGCTTGGTTGTGAACTTAAAAGGCAAGCCTCAAATTCACACCAAGTTTCTCTTCCTCGTAATCAGCATAGACGTATCTGGAAATCAATTGAGTGGAGATATTCCCGAAGAAATAACTAATTTGGCTGGTTTGATTGCTCTGGATTTATCCAGAAACCACATAAGCGGTCACATTCCTGAAGGCATTTCAAAGTTGAAACAGTTAGAGTCACTTGATCTGTCAAGCAACAAGCTCACAGGTCCAATTCCTCGAAGTTTGTCTTTACTATCATTCCTGGGGTATCTGAATCTGTCAAACAACGACTTCACCGGTAGGATCCCATACACAGGGCAATTAACAACTTTCGATGCGCCATTTTTGCTGGAAATCCAGGCCTCTGTGGTGCTCCTTTTCTTGTAAGCTGCCCAGATGATGATCCGGATAAGGGAAAGACTCCGAAGGATGATGGTGATGGCAACGATTTCATTGACAAGTGGTTCTGTTTGAGTGTCGGATTGGGATTTGCATCGGGTGTTCTGGTTCCTTTCTTTATTTTAGCTATCAGAAAATCTTGGAGCGTTGCTTATTTTCGGTTGGTAGATCAAGTTTTGGAGAGAATATCAGAATGTCATGCCTGAGAATCAGAGGACCAGGTACGATCACTTGAGCTAAAAAAGCATTTTATATTTTATACTGTTATGTACTATAGTATCATCCATTACATTTTCGGTACTTAGAACTTTCACCTTTCGGGTACCTAAATTTGTCAAACAATGAGTTTTCTGGTAAGGATCGTATATATGCAGCTCATTTGACAACTTTTAATGAATCCTCTTATGGTTGAAATCCAGGCCCTTGTGGTCCTCCTCCTGTCGTAAGCTGTCCAGGTGATCGTGACAACGAAAGGATTTTGGAGGACGATGGTGGTGACAACGACTTCATCGATAAGTGATATTATTTAAGTGTTGGACTGGGATTTGCAGCGAGTAGAAAGTCTTGGAGTGATGCATATTTCTCTTTCGTCGATAAAGTGTGTCATGGTTGAGAAACAGGAGAGGAGTGCATCACAGGACCAGGCACTGTCACCTGTTGCAAATTTCTTCGTTAAGGGAACACTACCTCAACCTACATGCTCCACTTACAAAGCTTCAACATACAAGCTTCAACAAAAGAAAATTCAAAGAACTTAGCGAAGAAGGCTTTGGTGTATTTAACACAATACGTTGAAATAAAGGAAAGCTTATTTATTGATATCCCCGATAAGTTACAAATATGTACATATACTTGAGTCAAAATAAACAAACAAGAGGGAGCCTTCACAAAGGTTGCTTAGGAGAAGTCTCAGCAGTCGGTAAAGCCCCAGAAAGAGAAGGCACCAGAGGGGGATCATTCGGAGCCTCAGTACTGGACAGAACCCTAGAAGGAGGAGGCAGGCATCAGAGGTTGATCATTTGGAGCTTCATTACGCGGTACAGCCCCAGAAGACGAAGGCAATAAATGCCTTTGGAACAAACCCACAAATCTCTGATGATCAAGTAAACACCTGACCATCAGAGATTCCTTCATCTGGTCAAGCTTCCTCTTCATGTTTGTAGCATAGTCATGTGCGAGCCGGTGCAACTGTTTATTCTCATGCTTGAGCCCTCTAATCTCCTGTTTGAGACTCATCACTTCAGCCGCCAATGATTCAACTTGGCGGGTTCGAGCAAATAGGCGTTGGGCCATATTAGACACAGAACCTGCACACTGAACACTAAGAGCCAGAGAATCCTTAACAGCCAACTCATCAGACCGTTTGGAAAGTAGTCTGTTATCTTTGGGAGTGAGAAGGTTCCTGGCCACTACCGCAGCGGTCATATCATTCTTCATCACGGAATCTCCAACGGTAAGAGGACCAGTAGGGGAGACGAAGGATGGGCGCCATATGTTGTCTGGAGAAGGCGATGCTGCCTCTTCAACAAGGTTCAAGTCAAAACGACGGTCGGAGGGGCCAGACATTTTCAAAGGTGTTGAAGAGAGAAGAGGTCGGACAAATCAAGATCTTAGAAGTGCAAGAATGGAGCTTCTACTGGTGGATATTCAAGTGTGCTTTGGAACTTAATGTCAGCCCCTATAAAAATCTGCACTCGATGAAGCTTCAGAAATCGAAGAGGCGCCTGCTCAGAAATCGAAGAGGCGTTTACTTTCTCAAAAGCTGGGCTGCTCAGAGACCACGAGGGTCGATCTCAGAAATCGAAGAGTCGTGTACTTTCTCAAAAGCTGGGCTGCTCAAAGACCACGAAGGCCGATCTCAGAAATCGAAGAGGCTTGCTTTCTCAAAAGCTGGGCTGCTCAGAGACCACGAGGGTCGATCTCAGAAATCGAAGAGGCACCTACTTTTCCAGCCCTGTCAGCACCTATCACACGCACACTCAGCTTTGCGGAAATTATGGGCATTCTGTCGAAGATTTCTGGCGAAGTAGAAAGCACATGAATCGTACTGTTCAATCACCCACTTCCCACACGCAACAGTAGCTCATGGGTACCACATATAACTCTGCCAAAGTTCTCTGACAAAGTTGAGACACGTGAAGCTTGCAGCTCCCACTACATCACTCTGACCAAGAAGGGTAAAAGATTAGCAAAGAAACAACACTAACAAAGTTTAGACACATAAATTTTGAAGGTCTAGCTACCATATTATTACCCACAAGGGTAAAGGAACAGTACCACTGCTGGATAATTGGAAAGTCCCGGTGTGTCAACCTCTGTGCTTTGTGGCAAGGTAGACTAGCAAACATGCCCAACCTTTACTCACATTCGATAAAACACTCCCAACAAGATTGCTTGCTCCAAAATCGAAGAGGCACCGCCCTCCGAATCTCGAGAGCCAGACTCCTAACATGATTACTTTCTCAAAAATCGAAGAGAGGGTAAAGGAACAGTACCACTGCTGGATAATTGGAAAGTCCCTGTGTGTCAACCTCTATGCTTCGTGGCAAGGTAGACTAGCAAACATGCCCAACCTTTACTCACATTCGAGAAAACACTCCCAACAAGATTGCTTGCTCCAAAATCGAAGAGGCACCGCCCTCCGAATCTCGAGAGCCAGACTCCCAACATGATTACTTTCTCAAAAATCGAAGACACCGCTCTCCGAATCTCGAGAGCCAGACCCCCAGTAGGATTGCTTTCTCAAAAATCGAAGAGGCATCGTTCTCCGAATCTCGAGAGCCAGATCCCCGACAGGATTGCTTGTTCGAAAACCGAAGAGGCACCACTTTCCCAACTTCAAGAGCTGGATCTCCTTGGATAAAGTTTGTCTGTAATCTTCACACGCAACATCAGCTTTCCAGATACCACAGACCACTTTTTCAAAGTGCTCTGACAGAGTTAAAAAACTTGTGAAGCTGGCAGCTCCCACTACCGTGTTATGACCAAGCAGGGTAAAGGAATAGCATTATTATTTGATGTTAGGGAGACTCCTATATATGTCGACCTCCATCCCCAACGGACATGCAGACCTGCAAAAATGCTCAACCCTTCCTCTTATCTGAGAGGGCACTCCCAACGAAGCATTTCGAAATATTCAGCTTTCTTTCCCCCCGATAATACCTCTGTAAACAAGCTATACTAGAGCAAGAATATCTCATATCATCAGGGTTAAAAGCAAGAGTATCCCATATCATGCTTTTTCCCTGTCTTTTCCTTTGGCCTTGTTCTTACCTGCAAGACAAGGAGAAAGAGTGCAATCAGTCAGCACTTGGAATCAAGTTTCCAGCCAGGAACTGATTGCCTGGAACCCCTTACCTGATTACTTACCTGACATTGCTCTCGAGTACTCATCTTCAACATCTTATGCTTCCAGGGAAGATCCCGCATCTGCCTGAGGAACAGATAAGGCAAGAGAAGGATACAAGGAAGCATGTGGAGACAAGCGTAACAGCACACGTGCCGATACATCCATTACTCTGTCAAAAGCAAAAGTATCCCATATCAGCAGGGTCGAACGTACTCTAGATTTGATGGACTTGTTTTGACCCTCAAATTCTTCAGTCGGCCGTATCTCTGGAGGAAACTAGAAAACCCTCCAGCCCAGTTCAAGAATAAGCCTGTGGAAAGTTACTTCTTCAAAAGCAAAAGTATCCCATATCATCTCTTCTCATTTTTCTTCTCTTTATCCTTCATGCTGCCTGCAAGATAGGGAGAATGTGAACAATCAGCCGGAGCTCTGATTGCTTACCTTGTCTGTCACCTCTTTCAACAGATCCCCTAGCTCGGCGACTTGGGGGACTCCTACTACATGGTTTGTATCGCGCTTGACTAAGCCTGAAACTACAAGTAAGCTTCAAGTGACATTGATACATTACCTTGTGCACCTCCACCAGTTACAGATACCACCCCTGAATGGAGGAAGAGTACTTCCAGAGAAGATGCCATATCTACCTATGAGACAAGAGAAGATGCCATATCTACCTATGAGACAGATAAGGAAAGTCAAGACGATACCACACTCCAGTACTTAGAAGTTTCGTGGTTACGAGATCATTCTCCCACAATATTTCCTAATGTCATTTGTACTAAATCATTCACTTGTACTCACTAAAGGAGAGCTTGAACCTATGTACTTGTGTAAACCCTTCACAATTAATGAGAACTCCTCTATTCCGTGGACGTAGCCAATCTGGGTGAACCACGTACATCTTGTGATTGCTTTCCTATCTCTATCCATTTATATACTTATCCACACTAATGACCGGAGCAATCTAGCGAAGATCACAAAAAGTGACCGTTTTCGCTACCTAGGATATCTTGCAAGAGAACGGAGAATTAGATGGAGATCTCAACCATAGAATACAAGCTGGATGGATGAAGTGTAAGAGTGCATCCGGCGTGTTGTGTGACCGTCGTAGGCCACTGAAGCTCAAGGGAAAATTTTGTAGGACGGCAATAAGGCCAGCGATGTTTTATGGCACAGAATGTTGGGCGGTGAAGCATCAACACGTACACAAAATGGGTGTAGCGGAGATGAGGATGCTTCATGGGATGTATGGGCACACGAGAAAGGATAAGATTGGGAATGAGGATATCCGAGGTAAAGTAGGAGTAGCCAAAATTGAAGGAAATATGAGAGAAAATCGGTTCCGGTGGTTTGGACATGTGCAAAGAAGGCCTACTGACGCTCCGGTTCGAAAATGTGACTACGGGACAGAGGTTCAGGGCCGAAGGGGTAGAGGAAGACCTAGGAAAACTTTGGAAGAGACCCTAAGAAAAGACTTGAGTACTTGGATCTAACGGAGGACATGACACAAAATCGAGCGCAATGGCGTTCTAGGATTCATATAGCTGACCCCACTTAGTGGGAAAAAGCTTTGTTGTTGTTGTTGTTGTTGTTGTATCTAGGAACAAGAAAGTTCAATTGGATGACGAAGGACACGAGGGAGGACGCGAGCTGAGAGACGAGAGAGCAACACCAGAGCTGGGGGAAGGACTCGACAAGTTTTTAGATTTGAATTGCGCCCTTTGCTTTTGTACGATAAAGAGAGAAATGAGGGTAGGTTTGGAATTTCAAAAAATTGATTAAATGGGCAGTGACACTGTTCACCTTGTTTTGGGAAAAAAAGGCAGATTTCTAAAGCTTGTTTTTGCTGCTTTGGCATTTTGGTCTTTTTACACTCCAAATTATGTAAAGCTAATTATAGATGTTTACCAAACACGATTTAAGCCCATATTTTCTTGGTACCCACTTTTTTTAAAAATTTCAGTTGTGCCAAACTGGTTGCTATGACTTCGTGGTGCTTACAAATACATAGTAACAAAACCAAAAAGTATATATTTTTTTTGTTGGACAGATAAAAAAGTATGCGGGTCTCACATTACAATCCATAATCTAGACCGAACAGATTAAGAATTATCCAATATCTGCAAAATCATAAAGTAGATTGATTAGCAGTAGTTGATCTATTTTCAATTTTTTTCTGCCTATTATTGCCTTTCAACCTGTTTATGACTTCTCCCGTTCAAAAAAAAATTATTAAGGCAGTTACACTAATTTATCTAAAATTACATTAATGAAACTCTTTTTGTCAACAAAAAAATGATAAGAAAACAGATTTATCTTCTATTACAACAACAAAAATATTAAGGACAATAACGTAATTTAACAGATCAAAATTTTGTTTTTTTTAAACCTCAGCTACATGTAAGTTTATCATCTTTAATTTAAAAAATAAAAAATAAAAAAAATAAAAAACAATCTCTATCCCTCACTCCTCACTTCCAAGTTCTCTCTCAATCTCTTCCTCTCTCCTTCAATTTTAACAATCAAAGTAAAAAAAATTATACACTTTAACAAAAAAGCTGAGTGCTTTTCTTTCCGTAAATATTATCTTTTTACACAGAAGAGGAGAGAGAGAGAGAGGATGAGTGACACCGGAGCAACAAAGGTGATGAGTGTAACCGGAGCGTCCGGTTACATAGCATCATGGCTGGTGAAGCTGTTGCTGCAGCGTGGGTATACGGTCAAAGCCTCAATTCGCGACCCAAGTCAGTCATCACTCGCCGCTCTTACTTCACTTCTTCAATTGGTTAATTTCTCTTTAATTGCAAAATACTTATTTATTTGATAGTTTTAATCCCCACTTCTTCGTTTCTTTTCGATTAATTTGATTATTTAATTCTTCTTTTTTGGAAAAATGTATGAGGCTTGATGCGTGATTAAAACTAATCTGTGTTTTGGGTTTGTGTATTTTGCTAATTTTCTTTTGAATATTTTCATCAAAGTTTGTAAATTCCTAGAAATTTTGTGTGTGTTACCAAGGTTAATTAATTTGATCAGTATGGTTTTGTGTGATTTAGGAATTTAGGACCTTGGTAACTGTTTCTTTTGCTCTGCCGTGTCATATTGGGGAGGCCGGAGGTTGTGTAACCTGGCTCTGATACCATGTTAACTACATTGTAGTGTTTGGGAATTGAAGAGAAAATCAAGAAGAAAGATGAAGAGAAGAAAGATGAACACAGAGAGTTTGAGAGAGAGAGAGAGTTTTAGAGAGAGAAATATGCTTTTGTATTGACTGATAGGATGAAGGTTACACAACTGTTTTTATAAGAGAAAGCCTAACTACTCTAACCAACTTACTAACTGTATTGCTGACTTGTATGCTTAATAGTAACTTGATTACTTGACCAGTTTGATCCAGTTTAAGGACTTTAACTAAGTATTGATAGTGTCAAACTAACCCTCAAGACTAGACCAATAACCGGTTTCTTCATCATGGAAGGAAGAAACTTGAGCGCTTTGCGACGATCCATAGATGTAAATTGGTAAATTTGGTGATTACAAAAAGGTAGTGGATTGGGAGTGTTGAAATGGGCATCAAATGATTCATTTGTTAAGTTATAGTTTTTATGGTTTATACTGCAGATGATAAGAAGAAAACAGAACACTTGCTTGCGCTAGATGGAGCTAAGGAGAGGCTTCAACTATTCAAAGCAGACCTACTGGAAGATGGCTCTTTTGATTCCCTAGTTGAGGGTAGTGAAGGTGTTTTTCATACAGCTTCTCCGTTTTATCACAATGTCAGCGACCCACAGGTACATCCTGTGTCACTTTAATTGCTCCATTGCGTAACCATCAGTCGTGATATGTCTGCATAATTTACCAATTATGTTGCATTCTTGCTGGATTTACTGAAAGTTTATGATGCTTTGATGTTCTATGCGATGCTTTTTCTTCTGGAAGTATCTCTTTCATGGATTCATTAGTATAAAATTATTGCCTTCAAAGTTCATTTGAATATGCTAAAAGGTCGCTGGATTCTAACTACCTTCTTTTTAATTATATCTTGTCTGCAAATTCTTAAATTAAGATCCGATAAGCTGCTGGTTTTAATGTTTTCTTGTGTCAGGCGGAACTTATTGACCCTGCTTTGAAGGGAACTCTTAATGTCCTTAGATCATGCGCCAAGGTTCCATCTATCAAAAGGGTGGTAATAACGTCCTCCATGGCAGCAGTTGCATTTAATGGGAAACCTCTTGCTCCGGATGTAGTAGTTGATGAATCTTGGTTTTCAGATGTAGCTGTTTGTGAAAAATCAAAGGTTTGTGCACTTCTCATTCTAATTTTATGACAAAAAATATCTCATTTATAGGTTCTCTGTGGACATTAGTACAAAGACTTAACTGGTTAACATAATAGAACATCATACGGAACTTTTCGATATTAATTTGCACTTGACATCCAGTCTTGTTCATACATATCTCTACCAACTCTATTTTTTTATGCGTGTTCATCTTTATCTGTTTTTTTTATTTTTTTTATATTTATCCTGTTCTTATAGTTATTCACTCCTGCAGAAATCACTTTCAGCTTATCATGCTTCGCCTAAGATGCCTTAGTTGTGTATTTCACCTTCTAATGTGCTTGAATATGAGAACCTTTTAGGGTTCTTTAGCCTGTTATGTCATATTTGGATGTAAATTGAAAGGAATAATTATTTGTTGTGAGATGATTGATGCTCATATTTTTGTTGGCTCTGGTCTGGTTGTTAGCATATCTCACGTAAATGATTAATTTTTATTGTGTAAGAGTTAAATATTTCATCCTTTAAATGCATGTCCATTGTGTTTACTAAGACTTTTCCTTCATTAGCTTTGGTATATGATTTCAAAAACGTTGGCTGAGGAAGCTGCTTGGAAGTTTGCAAAAGAGAATGGAATCGACATCGTTACAATAAATCCAGGATTGGTGATTGGTCCTCTCTTACAGCCAACTCTGAACACAAGCGTGGAACCTGTTCTGAAACTCGTCAATGGTACTCCTGAGCCAGTATTTATAAAATTTCATTGCTCATTAATATATTGCATCATTTTATCAAGTAATCATTCCTACTGGAGAACCTATTTTGAGGGCAGGATCTAGTACGTAAGAGAAGCTGCATAGTACACAGATTACACTTTTTCCACTAAACCTTCAGTGCAGAACACTCTCCTCATTGGGATATATGAAATATCATGAGTTTTGAGATTTACTCTTTCTACTTGAACTTCTGCATTCTGTACAGATGAGTGGACTTTTAATCCGTGCCTCCAATTGCTAATAGTTATGGAATTATGTTCCTTGTATAAGCACTGATCCTTTAGCACAACTTGAATAATGGTTTGGGGGCACCATCATGAACATGTAACTACTACGTTGGCATGTCACTTCACATGGGTAATGTATTCCTTGGTATATATGAGATGTAGACTACGGTGAATTGGTTTCTTGTAAAAGAGAGAGGGTATCATGGAGGTGTATTTACTATTGAGTGATCATAAACTAAAGGGTCATGTTTGGATCTCATGCTTTCTGCGAAACCGTACAATCTGCTAAGAAATTCTCATTGCTGATATTCAATTTATGCAGGAGCTGAAAGATTTCCAAATACAACTTATAGATGGGTTGATGTTAGAGATGTTGCTACTGCTCATATTCTCGCCTTTGAGAATGCTTCAGCAAGTGGGAGATATTGTCTAGTTGGAAGAGTAATACACTGTTCTGACACCGTGAATATTCTGCGGGATCTCTTCCCTGCTCTCAAGCTTCCAGAGGAGTAAGTTGCTATGCTAATACTGTCCACATTCTTCGTAGTTGCTAATTTGTGTGACGGATAATTTGGACTTAAGGAGATTTAAAGTCTGGGATTAAAAAACTAACGTCTGTGTTCTTCACAGATGTGCAGATGACAAACCATTCACACCAACTTACCAGGTATCCAAGGAAAGAGCCCAAAGTTTGGGAGTTAAGTTTACTCCTCTGGAGGTGACTTTGAAGGACACCGTGGAAAGTTTGAAGGAGAAGAACTTCTTCTGATCATGGGTCACGTTGGACTTATCGTTGCAACATCAAATCCCGTTTGATCAACTACGTAAAAATACGTTGCAGAAAATAATTGGCGCTTCACAAAACTCTTGCACGAGACCCCGTTCTGTGAAGTTTAATTGTACTTTGGAATTTATTTCAACTGCGTTTTAGTTGCTGGGAAAAATTTGAAGTTTGAAGTTTGAAGTTTGTATTGGATCCTGAATATTCCGACATCACAAGTCGAAAATTTATTAAGTGGAATCCCAACTCAACCACTCTGAGTTGGAAATTAATTTAAATTTAGAACTTTCCCTCATAAACTAGTAGTCAATTTATAAATATGTGCAGAAACAAACGCTCCCAGACACATTAGTTTTTCCATTTTTGCATTAGTTTTTGTATAAGCTGGTGTCCAACGTTGTCAACTTCTTTGTGGCCGGCATGGCGGCATTGACTTGGTGTCCAAGTTTGTCTGCTCCTTGGCTCAAGTAGTTCGAATATGCTTATCTATATAAACTAGAAACCGAATTTCAATGTTTTAAAACGGAGTAGGATTCTCTTTCTTCCGAATCTCTCTTCTCGAGCTTTTAACTTGGTAGTGGCATCTCGAACATAGGGACACCTCAAGTCCAAAATCAGTGGTTGGTTTTGACTCATGGCTTGGTAAGATGGAGCAAAATTTTGGTGCATTAACAAGCAGCATTATCAACGACTTTTTTAAGTTTTGGATTGCGATTTGAAGTTAGTGAAATAATAAAAAATTCAAATTGTCCTTAAATTGCTTAGGAAATCAAACGCAACTGGGAACGAGGAGAAGAGGGGCGGCAGAGGACAAATGCTGGTGAGAAAATCAAAAGTTTCAATTTTTGCAAAACTATTAACTAACAGTCAACAGGAGGGTGCTGGGAAATTAAGTAAGAATTCATAATTACATGCATAAACAAGCGCTCCAAATCAAAAGTACTTTGTCTTCATCAATTTTTTTAATATAGGAGGTATCCCACGTGACATCGATGACTAATCCGTCTCCTCACGCAGTCTCGGCTCCAAATGATGTGGCAACTTACTTTTAGGCTCCGAATCAAATGATGTTAAAGCAGAGTTTGTGATCCTAAAAAATACATATGTGAGTTTGAACTAATAGTTTGCTTAAGTAGATATTTAGTTGTGATGACGGTAGTATTGCAAGAAAAATGAAACAGAATAAAGAAAGAAAGACTAAAATCAATGACTAAAATTAAACACTAAGAAAAAAAACGAAAAACTTGACTGAGTCAAAGCCTAAGGCAAAAAAATAAAAAAAATAAAAAGAAAGCAAGAGCAATAAACTAACTGCATATAAAAGCACCAATCGGCAACTGCAAGGCAACTAACTACATATAAAAGCACCGATCGGCAACTGCAAGGCCTTCACTGTCTGAGAGAGAGAGAGAGAGAGAGAGAGAGAGAGAGAGAGAGAGAGGATGAGCGGAGGAAGTAAAGTGGTTTGTGTAACAGGAGCATCCGGGTTCATAGCATCATGGGTGGTGAAGTTCCTACTGCAAAAGGGTTATACTGTCAAAGCCACTGTGCGTGACCCAAGTAAGTATACATACATACATATATATATGATATTTAATTTATTTATTTGTTTTTTCTCTTAGCTTGCTTCATCAAATTGTTGTATTTCAAGTTTCTGGGTTTCAGTTCGGTGTTTATTTTTGGGTTTTCTTATGTAAGTCCTCGATAACTTCATATTTTAGCGAAAAACACTTTAAACGCAGTACTATAAATAAATTAAAATAAAATAAAAAACCCGACTTAAGCTGTAACTCCAAAGGGATTTCACAACTAAGAAATCAATGACTGCAACAAGTGTTATTCACACATTCCATTTTAAAAAAGTATACGAGAAGTTAAATGAGATATGTGGATATTACATTCCTAAATTAATATATAAGGCGTTCTTTTCTCCAATTGAGCTTTGAAGGAGCTCATTCGGGCAAAAGAAGGAAAAGCCCAAGTCGAGCAAGCAAAAGTGGAAACAGCCCAATCCGGCAACTTGGGAAAGGGCCTTTGGGGCAAACTGGGTGAAGCCCTTCGGGCAAAAGAGAAAGATCTTACTCTACATAAGGGTCCCATTGGACATTTAAAATTGTTCACCCCCAAATTTGTAATGGGCCTTGCGGGCAAGCTGAGATTTACTTAGTCAATAAATTGGTGATTGCGAGCTTGGCACCACTAGTTATTGTTGGTAGATGAGATTTGAGTGATGAAGATTGCGCTATTTAACTTCTAATAAAAAAATTGTGTCATTAAGTGAGAGTGGCTCGACTTAGGTTCTTTCTTTGCCTTATATGATAAGGACTTTACTTATATAGAGAAATAACTCACAATATGTAAATGGTGAAGAGAAAGAGAAATTGTTTAAGTGCTTTGTATTGAAATGACAATAACAATTCAAAGAGAGAACTCGTATTGCAATGGAGGAATACTTGTAAACACAACAAAGATATAATGAATTGAAAGAGTGCTTTGACTTTAATTGAAAGAAATGAAAGAGCTTGCAATATTGAAGAAAGCTTTGAAATTTGAAATGAAAATGGTGCAGCTGTAGAGAGATTTGTTTGATTGTTTGAGTGTCCTCACCTTCATGCCTTGGTTTTCTTTATATAGAAAACAAAGCCTAGTCTGAAAACAAAGCCACTTAATGCAACTTCTCTCTCCCCCAAACCCACGTCCTTAGGAAATGATATCAAAAGAAGCCATGGTTGATAAAGAAGAGTAGAGGAATGTTTTAATTCTTGGAAACTTGTGTTCGTAAGTCAGCTCACCAGTCCTGTTTTTGTATGTCACAGATGATCCAAAGAAAACACAACACTTACTCTCACTAGATGGAGCAAAAGAAAGGCTTCATTTGTTCAAAGCAGATTTATTAGAAGAGGGATCTTTTGACGCTGTCGTTGATGGATGTGAAGGAGTTTTTCATATGGCATCGCCTGTACTAATGTCAGTCACTGACCCACAGGTAATCTCTTCACTTTCATTGTCAGAGCTTTATTACATGCGGCATGAACCTAAGTTTTGCATCTCGAGCTGTTTGTTTATATAATCTGTTACATTCTAAAATTCAGACCCTTAAATATTGGTAGTTTAATATCTTGTCAGGCAGAACTACTTGACCCTGCTGTGAAGGGAACACTGAATGTCCTCAGATCATGCGCGAAATTTCCGTCTATCAAAAGGGTGGTTCTAACATCCTCCATAGTATCAATTGTATTTACTGGAAAGCCTCTTTCTGCTGATACTGTAGTTGATGAATCTTGGTTTTCAGATCCAGCTTTCTGTGAAAAAGCAAAGGTTTGTACAGTGCATATGCTAATTTAAATTTACAACAGACTTATCATTTATGTAAGGGGAATGCGAGCGTCCAGCTAGCTTCCAGTTTCGTGCAATAATATAAGAACTCGTCCTCCCTTGGTTTTTCTTTTCTGTCTCCATTCTCAATGATTTATTTGTTCACATACTCTGCAGAAGTCGATTGTGCTTATCGTGCTTTTTCTAAAGATGTCTCAGTAGTTATCTCTCTCTCTCTTAACGAGTTTGATTATGAGCAACTTTTACGACTCTTTAAACATGTCTTGTCAACCGCACAATTCATGCTCATATGTTTGTTTGCTTATCTTGGTCTGGTTGACATACCTGTTGTAATTCTGTGATAAGAATCATACGATTTAAATCTGATTGCTTTCATTCTTTGAAAAAATGCATTCATTGTTCTTATCGTCTTTGGTTTTCATCAGCTTTGGTATGCACTTTCAAAAACCTTAGCTGAGGAAGCTGCTTGGAAGTTTGTGAAGGAGAATGGAATCGATTTAGTTGCAGTAAATCCAGGGGTGGCGATTGGCCCTCTTTTACAGCCAACTCTGAACTCAAGCTCGGAGCTACTTCTCAAACTCTTTGATGGTACGCTTACGGAAGTAGAATAAAATCTTTAGACACGAAATTTTAGGAGCATAGTCAGGAAAGAGGACTAAGTTTGTAGTTATAAGAAATCTTAAAACACGTGTTTACTGAAGTTGGGAAACCTGTTTACTCTTACTGAAAAATAAAAATGACATTTGAAGGCTTGCATGCTTGCGTTCTTCAGGTTTCAACAATAGATATTTGACCATATAACAGAAAAGCTATTAGGCATATGAAATATTATTGTAGCACATATCTGCGGTATCATATACCATGCTTTTAATCACTGGATCCGCATATCCAGTACCATATTGTAGACCATATCTTGTAGTGTGTTCATATCCATAATTCTTTGGTAATTTATGAATCTCAGATAATTGAGTTCATCGTTTTTAGTTTTCATCGCAAAGTTACTGTTGCTCTGCCATAACTTCTGCATTATTTAAAATAGAGGACTTGCATTTAACCAATGCAACTCAATCATTGAAAGTTCGTTTTACTATTTCTTGCACAGATCTTTTATGATTGTTTGGGATTGGGACTTTATTGAGCTCATCATTTGCAGTCTCTTCTGTATTCAAGTGTCATCAATATGCTGCTCTTTCTATGAAAACTTAAATCTATGAAAATTTATTGTTCCTAATTTATCATTTATGCAGGAACCGGAAAATTTCCAAATGCAACTCACAGATGGGTTGATGTTAGAGATATTGCTAATGCACATATTCTAGCCTTTGAGAATCCTTCAGCTAGTGGGAGGTATTCTATAGTTGGAAGTGTAGCACACTATTCTGTGGCCGTTAAAATTCTTCGTGATCTCTTCCCTGCTCTCAATCTTCCGGAAAAGTAAGTTGCTAAACATAGCCACATCATTGCATCTTAATTATACATGTGTTAGAGGCACTTCTAAGGATAGTGTGGGTTTACTTATGCACTCTAGGGTCCTGTTTATTTATGCACTCTAGTGTCCTGTTCTGTGGCTTTTCCTTTTGAGAATATCGTAATTAGCATATATTAGGTATTTTGAGATGGAGGTTATCACTAGAGACCTAGTTTTGTGAAAGGGATTCCTGGCTCTTTTTGTTTTCTGTTGTTTTGGATGATTTCTGAATCTTCACGGTCTGAATAAGCTATTTGAATGGTTTAAATTTTTGAATTTCCGAACCCAAATATCGATCCTGAAAGTAAATGGCGTGCTAAAGAGTCAGATAGTGTACTGTACTGTAAATTTGTTCACCGTCTCTTGATTTCCCAACACAGAATACTTGGACACGAGTTTCCAATGTTCAATATTAACCAATTTATGTGTCTATTCTGGGTAGATGTGCAGATGATCAACCTTTCGCACCAACTTACCAGATATCCAAGGAA